TTCCACGGTTGTGAACATGTACCTACGGTTCGCTCCGTCAGCAGCTTTGTTTGTTCTTCCAAACATGTCTCATTTCACTTTTAAAACACAGCATTTTTCTGGTTTTGGAAAAACGTCTTTAAAAGCAGGAACAAGCCCTTCTCTTCAGCGGAGCACATGAACGGCTTCTCTGTCGCCTCCTCTCCGGGAACGGTAACAGGCTGACCCTGATTTCACTCCTCTAAATAGGGTAACGGTGGTTTGAGCAGGAAATCTAAATCCGGCCTCCGAGGTAGCCCAGTGATTTTCCAGGTCAAGGCAACGGGAGAAAGCAGAGTTGGGAGCCTTTGCAGTCCTCTCCCAGGTACCGAGAGGCCCCGGCGCTCGCTGGGAGAAGTCTGCCACCTAGTGGACCATAGAGGCCACTGACGCCACTTGTAACCCTGTTAGTGGCCTCACGAAGTAACTGTGTGCAAAAACCACACTGAACCCCATAAATATGTACAGTGAGTTGTGTTATTTTTAAATAACAAGTTTAAAAAGTAAGTGTTTCTATACAGACAAATATAGCAAAGTTTCATGGTCCAAAGCTTCTGTTAATGCCAAGTAGATTAACTCGGGAGGCAGAGCCAGGTGGATCTCTGTGAGTTCAAGGCCAGCCTGGGCTACCAAGTGAGTTCCAGGAAAAGGCGCAAAGCTACACAGAGAAACCCTGTCTCGAAAAACCAAAAAAAAAAAAAAAAAAAAAAAAAAATAGTGCAAACCACCGCGTGGTGGTGGCATTCAAAGCCAAGAAACAAAATGTTCCTCCTAACGGAAACTGTGCCCGCAACTACCACGTAGACGTCTCCTCATACAGTAGTGTCATGCAAAGTGGAGTGTTTTTATTTAACAACCCTCTCATTTTGACAGCGACCTGTGTATCCTGGGTGCTTTTTTCCTCTACAGTGAATGAATACTTGGCCTATGTCTCAATGATTAAAGTCACACGGTTGTAAACTCCCATGCAAAGAGTATTTTCTAACTTGTAACATCCATGTAATAAATCACTCATACTGTCTTTTGGGAATAACTGATAGAGTCATGTGAAATTGATGAGGTCAGACCTAGAGCCCAGGCTGGGCCAAATGACTCTATTCGCGCTTTCTTCTTTTCATTCCATTTGTCACATTTCTTCAGGTTATACTAGATAATTGATATTAGTTTCTATTAAAGAGGCACAGGCACCATTTATATTTGATAGCATAGCCCAGACCCACCCCCTCCCAACTCTAGGCTTACTTTCTAGTTGCGGCTCTAATAGCTGGGTTGTGGGAGGGGGGGGGGCGTGCCATTTCCCTCTCTTGGCTTCTACCTGGACACTGTCTACTGAATTCTGTCTGCTGTGAAACCACACTGCCACATATCAGTGACACTTGGGGACTTGGACGTTCAGTGGATAAAATCTGTTGTTTATGCTAAACAAATGAAAGGAACCACCCCTCTGGGTACTGAGCTTCACACCACATATCACCAAAAGCTTCATCCTGAGTCACAGAGCACCAGACTAGAGACAGCTTGATATTCAGTCTCTCTATACCTTCCCTTTCCTCTCATCTCCAGCCTCCAGTTAGCATTTCCTCCCCTGTGGTGTTTAAATGTGGAAACAGAAGTCATTTTCAGTGAAAGGCTCTTCTGTTGTTGGGAACACCCACATTGCCTGTAGAGTAGACTCCAGGGGTCCTAGAGAAGTGAGCAGAATTCTCTCAGCATCATAGAGGAAAAGAGTGAACCCAGTGGTTGGAAAGGAGACAGAAGTTGCCAGATTCTAGTCCTATGTCATCCCAACTAAGCCCATTCCAAGTATGGCACAGTGGCTGGAATCAGACACACGAAGACTGGTATTAAAAACCTCTTGGCACTGACTGATGTGGACCCTGAGTCAAAGAGGCCAAGATTCACACATCACTGTCTGGTCGTTAAGTGATGGGGGGGGGGGGGGGTTCTGATAGGTTTAAATTAATTGCATGACCATGTCACACACTAAGATTCAAGTGGGCACCTGCTTCAAGATGACAGACTGGCTAGGGGGATGCATGTCTGCAGGAGACACTTAGAGGTGGCAGGATTTAAACTAATCTGCCCTGAGCCATGGCTGTGGCTAGTTCGGAGAGCCCGTGTAGAGAGATTAGTATCAACTCATTGGAAGACATGGGTGTCTAGGGGGCATCTGGAGTCTGTGGCAGGCTTGTTCTGACCGGTTCTTCAGAATGCATCAAAATCCCTGGACAGTTCCACTCCATGCCCACCCTCCCGAGTGACAAAACAAACCACTTGTTTACTATGGATGGTTTTGTGGAAGACAAAGGGAAAATGGAGGTTTTTATGTCTCTAAATTAATTCTCTTTAAAAATTTATCTTCTTCCTAGAGATGGACAGGCTGACAGCAGTGGGGGGGAGGACACTATTCTACCTGCAGTGGAAATGATGTCTATCTGAAACAGGCCTTCACCCACTGTTTCCAATAACGAAACCCCGGAGTAGAGACGTTTGGATCTTGTTTGGGGAACTTCACCAAAGAAGTGCTGCTATTGCAGAACTGGGCAACAGCAAAGGAGAACTAAATAGCTAACGGCCTTGCTGAAGCCCTCCCCATGTCTTCCGCGACTACCCTCCTTTGGGCTCACTTCCCACAGCCCTGTGCATTGGCCTGGCCTCCTTCATCTCCCTTCCTGGGGCCACTGCCCCTGCTGTATGCTCTACCCAACATTAGCAAGGCTTGTGCCCATCCATCTCCACACCCTTGTTTCATTTTTATGAATCAGAGTCTATACTTATGTTTAATTTGCATTAGAAAATTTCTTAATTACTTACTCGTAAACTTGCTCGTGTTTTGTCTCACACAGTTTCCAGGTAAAAACACTCCCCACCAAGATGTGTCACGCTAATCCTACAACCTTGGAGTCTTCTTGGTACTGGAAACCCCTTGGGCTGTGATCCTCACTCCTAAGTGTAGACTCAGAGTACCATGTAAAGCATGTCTTTTGCCCAAATGCGTGATACCATCGCTGCTCAGGGAAGGCAAAAGATTAAAAAAGACTCCAAGCAGCCAGGTGTGAAAAGCCTCGTTTGAACCACTGACAGTGGTATAAATGTGTAACAACAAAAAAGAATGTATGACTTGTCAATTCTTTTCCAAATGAGTGTCCTTAGTTAGCTCTGTCAACTCTCGGCTAAGAGTCACCTAAGACAGGAGTCTTGATTGAGGGGCTGACCTGTGGGCAAGTCTGTGGGTGACTGTCTTCAACGTCAGTTGTAAGAAGGAACAGCCCACATGGTTCCTGCTTCTGCCCTGCCCTGACTTCTCCCCATGGCGGACTGTGTCCTGTCCTTTCCTCTCTGTGTCGCTTAAATTCGGAGAGTTTTGTCCCAGCAACGGAGAGGACACTAGGACAATCAGGAAACAAGTCATTTTACAAACAGACATACATCTTTAATACAAATGAGCAGTAACTGTGTAGCAATGTCAGAAATAAGCTGTCTTCAATGAGAGGCTTTTTTCCCAAAAGATACAAGTTGCACAGATAAATCAGTGATACTTTACACATGTTCAATGGGGAGGCACTTTAATTTCATAATGAACTATGAATATTTTCATAGTTTTCATCCATTTGAAATTCCAAAAACATTAACAGAATTACTCATTTCCATAATTGTTATGAGTAAAAAAGGAATGAATCCTGTACCTTAATATTGTCATTCTATGCATTACTCAAAAGTACAATAACCCTGAGGACAAAGGAGAGTCGCTCCCTTGCCTTACATAGTATAAAAAGGCTGAGACAACAGCAGGCATCCGTCACTAACACAAACCAAACTATGTTGTAGAATGAGTCTCATAAACACAAGTCCATCTTTTCTCTTTGGTTCAAAAAATAAAAGAGGTAGGCTAGAGTCAAAGATTCCCATTTCACTAGATTTTTCATAAAGCAATTATAACATAAATTACCAGAAACTAAATGAGTATATGGACTAAATCTTAAAATGTTAAGAATATATATATATGGTTTTTTGAGACAGTGTTTCTCTGTGTGGCTGTCCTGGAACTCATTCTGTAGACCAGGCTGGCCTTGAACTCAGAGATTCACCTGCCTCTCCCTCCCAAGTGCTGGGACTAAAGGTGTGTATCTCCACTGCCCAGCTAAGAATATTGAATATCTTCTTATAGAAGAAATAAGATTTTTCTAAGTTGTAATAAAGCAAATCATAAATGATAATTGACTACAAAATCAGCTTCAGTAAAAAGTTTAAGTGCTGTTGGTAATACAAATGTCCCACTATCTTCCTAAATCTTGAGGCAAGTGAAAATGTGACACGTATGTTTGCAGACTGAGCCTTTCATTCAAATACATACAATGAATATATACTGCTGTTGAAATGTGCTGGTGTCTTAGCTTTGAGCCACTCCATCTGAGAAGCGCAGGTTCAAAAGACTTCAACCGTAAAAGTGAAATGAAGGTGTCATTTACCTGAAATCAACACTCAAGTCATGAAAAGAGCAATTTCAGATTGCTGTGAAGGTCCCAGGGAGCCTTCCTGATTAAGAGAATTTGATTCAAAGAGAAAAAAAAAAAGAACAAAACCAAGACACTCTCTAGGACATGGTACAAGTCAATGGTTTGTTCACAGATGTTTTCGAAAGCAATGGTAGAAGAAGGATCTACCAAATAACTTGTATCAATAATTTAACAACATATGACAATCAATGTCTAAAATTGGGGACCAAATAACAATTCAAGCAGAACAGAAGAGTGTCCACCGAAATAAATATTATCTCACTGCTCCTCCATACACAAATTTGGCTACTATAATTCATCCTTATTCTGCTGACAGATGAGGATATAAACTGTGCAAGATTGATTTGAAGTACAGTGATTTTTTTCTACTAATGTTCCTGCAGGAGAATTTTATATCTATAAAGATATCCAAAATATATAGAACAATTTAAGTCCCAAGGCTTTCTGATCTTTTTTTTTTAAAAAAAATTTGGGTATAAACAAATTGACATAAACTTGGACCAATCAGAACAAAGATTAGTGATTTATAATTCTATCACACAAAATGATTTCAGCTTAAGTAAGTACATTTTCAGATTTAGGGTGCAAGGCAATATAAAGTACAATTTTGTGGCCTCTTCAACACTTCTTGAAACTGTGATTTTGAACATGACTGAAGATATAAAGCTGAGCCCAGATGCTTGAGGTGATTGCAGAGTCTCTTCCCTTTGGCTGGGGAAAACAGCCTCTTCTGCAATAGATTTGCTGCAATCCCAGAAGACACTGGAGAGCGAGAGCTGACAGCTTTGGTCATCACGGAAAAGAAGGCTTGGACGCGTCACTTCCGAGCTACTCCTAGCATCTGCTTCATATTTTCGTACACCACATAGCTGATGCCGACAGCAGGGAGCACCTTCATGAAGTTTGGGGTGATGCCTCTGTAAAGTCCTGACACTCCTTCTTTGGAGACTATTCGCCGAAAAAGGCCAACCATGTTCAGCTGCGGGGCCCCTTCTACCATGGCTAGCAAACAGATAAACAAACAGAAAAAAAAGATAAATAAAACTGCAGGAACCAGGCTAATCCAATATTCAAGCATGCCTCATTATTATTACAACAGACACTTAGGGATTCAGAATGGCGTCTGGAATACAATGGACCGATAAAAATCAATTACAAAAGCAACCCTCTTTGTGCATCACCCACCAGTGAGTTACAATGATGGCAGCTCCTTATGAAGGGTTGTTCTAGGTTAATTACTTTCCATGCGAGCCCTTCAGGATAAATACATACATTTCATAATTGAGCAATTAGGAACTTAGTTAGCTAGTAGCGAAACCAAGAAGCTGTGGTTGATGCTCAAGCCCGCCACTTTTAACCACATCACTCCATCACAGCATCCTCCCCAAGCCCTGACTAGAATGGCTACATTTTGGATAATAGGGGAAGGGGAGATTTGGAGAAGTTTAGACAGAGAATAGGAGACCTGGGCCTTGTAATTATCTCAGGAGGGGGAGAGGTGAAGAAAGGAGGAAGAAAAAAAGAAGGGGTGGAGGAGGAGGAGGAGGAGGAGGAGGAGGAAGAGGAGGAGGAGGAGGAGGAGGAGGAGGAGGAGGAGGAGGAGGCAGCCCTGTATTGCTGGTACAACAAAGGACAAAGGCAGGAACGGGCATGGGGGAGGGGACCACGGTGATTTGGGGATGTGATTATCACCCATAGGGTACTAAGGGGCTGGAGATGCCCACATGTTGACTAGCTGTTTTCTCCAAATTGAAGCATCCCCACAGGATCGAGGAGACTCCTAAGACTCAGGAGATAAATAAAACCTACCAAGCTCAGTCAGCTTCTGAAACTAGAGGAGTCACAGGACCGCTCCCCACTCCCCAAGGTTACGTGCGCAGTTATAACTACTGCAGGTGGGAGACTCCAGGACACGTTTCTGGCAGGTTATGCAGGGACCTCCAGGGATTTGGCTTCCGAGGCTGGTCACTTGCACTGGTTGCAGGGTAGGGTGGGGTGGGGTGTTGCCCCTTTAAGTAGCCGTCACTCAACTCCAGTCATAACCCCGGCAAGCTCACCAACGCACTATGCTAGACGCGGGTGGACCTGTTCCTTTGGTCTGTCCTTACCCTATCTGGGTGAACAGACAGGTCAGCTCACTCTAGCCTCCACAGAAAAAGTCGCACAGCAGCAGAGTGGGGGTGAGGGAACTGAACCTGAGGCACAATATGATGGCTAAAGACTTCGGAATTCTCGCTGAGAACTTTGGAATTGACACTGGAAACTCTGAAAACTTACAAAAATGTCTGAGGAGATAAAGCCATGAGTGGGCCTTGATGAAGAATGGCAGATCTTGGCCGCTGTGCTGGGTCAGGACTTGAGCTCAGGGGAAGGGTGGGCTCACCGTGCAGCAGTTTCAATCCCGGAGTGGGTCTGAACTCCAGCTCCATTCCCTGACAAATGCATAACCTTACGGACACTCCTTAACTGTTTTTGCCTGTTAGTCCTTTGTCAAATGTGGATGATATTAGTATCAAGCTCCCCAAGTGATCCCAATGGCAAAATGACAAACTGCACACATTTAGTTTGCTATTTTGCATTCCTCTCTGCAGCCATGATTACCTCTCAGCCCCTCAAATACGCCACTCTGCAGGCCTGTTCCTGGCTAGCTCCCACCGCATTCCTAGGCTTCATCTGGAGATGGGGTAGAACTCACGCCATGGGGTGTTTTATAAAGGGCCATCTTCCAGTTGAATCCGTGTCTTTTCCACTCTCCAGTGACCACATTCATGCCTGACTTGCTGCTTTCTCTAACCCTAGCACCCATCCGACAGGTGTCTGGTCCCTGATGACTCAAAAGAGTGTAGACCAGTGACTGCTTGGGTGAAGGAGGGGTTGGGAGTGGAACCGCAGATGCCCAGTACTCATTTGGAAGGGCAAGTACAATAGGTGAAGGTGACCAGGGAAAAAGAAGAACAGAAAAGAAAGTCAAAGAGTATTTCATGCTTTCAAAGAGCAGGCATCAATAAATGCCAGGAAGCAGCAAGAAGAGAGTAGTCTTTAAGTGGCAAAAGAGTCAGGACAGTGCAGCCTAGGAGCCAGCAGAGAGAGTGCCACAGAGAGGGAGTGCCACAGAGAAGGAGTGCCACAGAGAAGGAGTGCCACAGAGAAAAGGGCTTAGGGTCTGAACAGCACTGATAAACAGTTCAGTCACCACTTTGAGAATTTAGCAACTGCCAAATTCTTTACACATATTCCTGTTAATTCTTTTTGTCCCTCTTCATGGAAGACAAAATGAAAAAAAGAGATGTGGAGCAAAGACCTGAGCCCAAATCTGCTAGATGTCAAACCTTATACTCTTAAAAAAGCATGTGATTGACACAAAGTGTTACCACACCCATCCTGGAATGCAGACTCACCTTGTGCCTGCATTCGAGTCCTCACCAAAGCCAGGGGGTAACTGGCCAGCTGCCCACAGGTGCTAGACAGGGCCCCACAGCTCAGTAGCACCACCACACCGGGGTTGACAGAGTCTTTTGCAAAGTTCTCCAGCCAGTAAGACTTCAAAAGCTGCCCCGGAAAAAAAGAAACCAATCAACCAAGGAGATACTCAGCCATCATTCACTCAATGTAAACATCTTCAGGGCTGTTTCATGTAGTTAACTCTTTAAAAGTAAAATATTTTAATCATAAACCATATATGCTAATACATTTTTTTAAAAGCCTATATACCTAGTTGTGCTGGTTTGAATGAGAATGCCCCTGTAGAGGTTTGAATAGATATGGCCCCCGTAAACTCATGTGTTGGAATGCTTGGCCCATAAAGAGTGGCACTATTGGGAGGTTTAGCCTTGTCGGAGTAGGTATGCCCTGGCTGGAGGAAGTATGTCACTGTGGGGGCTGAGACTTTGTGATCTCAGAAGCTCAAGTCAGTCTCCGTCTGCTGCCTATGGATCAAATGTAGAACTCTCAGCTCCTCCTCCAGCACCATATCTGCCTGCATGCCACCATGCTTCTCACCATGATGATAATGGACTGAACTTCTGAAACTGTAAGCCCGCCTCAGTTAAATGTTTTCCTTTATAAGAGTTGCTGTGGTCATGGTGTCTCTTCACATTCCCAGTTATCTCTCTCTGACTCTTACTTGTGGATAAGGGTGTGAACTTTCAGTTACTGCTCTAGCACCGTGCCTGCCTACGTGCTGCCGTGATCCTGGCCATGTTGGTCATGGACTCACCCTCTGAAAATGTAAGCCCCAAATAAACATTTTCTTTTGTAAGTTGCCTCGGTCATGGCATCTTATCAGAACAATAAAAAAGTAACCAAGACTCTCGCTTAATATTTTAAATTTGTTTTTGTTTTTGTTTGTTTTATAGAATTGTATTTCTCAATGGAAACCTTGTGGGCTAGGATGTTACATCCCAAGTACTAAGACTAGACAACAACAGAAGGACCCTGCCAACCAAAAACAGTATATTGACAAAGCTGTCTTTTGAATATGAAGGAGAAATTAAGAGCTCCGTGGATAAGTAAAAGCTGAGAGAATGTACCATCACTAGACCTGCAAGAGATGACAAAGGCATCCTTCAATCTGAAACAAAAGGCCAATAAGCTGCAGCAGGAAACGTGAAAAGCCCACGGTAAAATGAGTAAAGAGGAAACAATGGTCTTCTAATATTGTAATACGGGTGGGTATGTAGACAACTTTGAAATCTGATACAGAATTCAAAAATAAAAGCATGAGAATTCATTGTAAATCCATGTTAGGGGACTCACTATGAAAAGATGACTTTTGATAACTGCTTGTCATCAAAACAGAACAGGGACGCCCAGGGGTAAGGAGTGGCTTTATATACAATTCTGGTTGACTTGAGATAGATTTTTGCAATGTCAAGATTTTTAGATTGGAGGGATTTTTAGCTTTGTAGGAGGAGTTTGGGAGTGCTCCCTATGTTTCTATTTTTTAAAGTAAATTTTATATGAAGAGTTCAAGAATCAGTAGCAATCACTTGTCATTGTTACAGAGAATGCACATAACTGCAAGTCTCTATTACACACATGATTGCAAGTGTCATTCTTCTGTTCCACAGGCATCATAGTTGATTTCTTTACACCAACATCACCCCCAAACATGTGAGTCACTGGTGTTAAGACACTGGTGTAGAAAAACACCAGGCAACACATATTTTTCAGCTCCATTATAATCCATGGCAACACTGTCACATATGAGTGATCTCTCATTGGCCCAAACATTGTCATGTGACACATTGTTGCATGTATTGTATGATGTATTATTATTGAACCAATAGGAATAATGAAATATAAGACATGAATGAACTTTAAAGGCTTTCTGTTAAGTGAAACAAGCAGACACAAACAAATAATATTGTGTGGCTCCACTGATGAAACACCCAGAATACATAAATTCATAGAGACTGGGGGTAGGTTAGAGGTTCAGGAGGTTCAGGGGGTGAGGCAGAGGGTAACTGCATAATAGTTTGGACTGATAGAAAAAGTTTTGGAAATTTACAGTAGTAAAGGCTGTACATTAGTGCAAATGTAATTAACATTACTGAATTTCATGGTTAAAAAGAAGTTTTTATGTTTTATCACAATTTCACAAGTTAACAATGAAATATTCCAAAAGCCCATAGATGGTATGTTTTAAGTGGGTGAAATGCACGGCATGGGAATTGTACCTCAATAAAGCTGTTCAAAGTAAAATGAAGTTATTTTATAAAAATTAGGACACAAAGCTAGGTAGGTGGAGAAGAAAGAGATCTATGAAAAAGTGAAAATGAGTATAATAATAAATGAATAATCAATATATTTAAAAATAAGTCTTCTGAGATATAATATGTAATATATATATAATAAAATAAGTCTTCTGGGTGGCTTCCATTACCTTCCTTCCTGAGCTGGGGCTCAGCTCCCGCCTAGGGTGTGTGCTGACTCACATCTGTCACAGCATGACAGACAATCTGAATTTCTCTTCGGGCTTGCCCATCTCCTCACCAGACCTTTGGGTTCTTAAAGGCCCTGAGTCCTTCTTTCAACTCAGTATCTAAAGCAACGGTTTGAATGTAGTGTGTGTTCAGTAAATGTCTGTCAGATTCCTAAGTTAAAGGATCCATGTGGCAGGGGTGACCCACTGTTTTTGACCTGAGTGGCGGGAGTGACCCGGGTTTTGTATTCTGAGTTGCCTGAGCTGAGTTATCCGAACTTAAGTCTCCATGCTCATGCTTCATTTTATAGGCTGAGCCGCCCTAGGGACCTCCAGCCCTAGGGACTGCCAGATGACAAGGGATGAAGCTTGGTTTTATCAGTGCCCGATTTTAGTAGTCCTAACACATTTCTGCTTATTTTTTCTGTGCCTCCCAGTCCCTCATGCCATCTTCTAAACCGAATTTTCGTCCATACTCTTTGTGAACAAAAGTAAATATGCAAGGAAAGCTAACACAAAACGTGACTCAGTACATGTGTGCTCTCACAATCAGGGTGCTGGAAAGGTCGAAGAACACACTAGGGGCAGTCCAGTCACACACAGCTCTCCTACCGGCACCCAGCTCTCCACCTTGCAGACTACCTACACTGCGGACAGGAGCATGCTGGACCCTCACTCACCTCATACACAGCGAGATCGATGCCTGCATAAGGAATGATGCCCAGTAAGTTGGGAACATAGCCTTTGTAAAAAGCCCCAAAGCCTTCCTGTTTCAAAATCTTCTTGGCACAACCATATATTCCAGAGTATTGTCCAGTTTTGGCTACAGCTAGCCGGGTTTTCAGAACCTAGATACCAGAGAATGGAACACAGTACCATTCACATTTAACATCGAACAGTTCAAGCGTATTGATTTCATGAAGCACTACGAAATTCTCTCTCTCAAGAGAATGTCCAGTTCATTGATAGAGTCTCCCTCATGGGTTGCTTCCATCGAGAAGCTAAAATCAGAGCCAGGAAGGGCCAGTTATTTCAAAGAGAGTCTAAAGGAGAGCTTTGAAAAAAACAAAAACAAAACAAAAAATGTGAACCAGATAATCTTTTGATGTCATAATAAAATTAATTGTCAAGGAAGGTGAAGAAAATGGCCTAGGGGACAACTCCAGTATCTTCAGCTTGGAGCCCAGGCTGAGGAGGTGGAGGGGTGGGAAGGGGATGGTATTGGTTGAAATGAGGGATGTGTGGGTAGTCTAAAATATCTCTAGAGGCTCAGAGGTAACACAATCTACAAAGCACTTATGGTACAAGCATGTGGCCTTGAGTTTGATGCTGTAAAACCCACATAAGAAGTCAGGAATGGGAGTGGATGCCTGTGGACCCCCTGGGGAGGTAAGACAGACAGCTCTCTGGGGTTCACTGGCCTGTCAGCCTGGCCCATAACAGTGAGCTCCGGCCAGTGAGAGACCCAGTCTCAAAATACAAAGTACACAGTGCCTCCTGATGAATGATACCTGAAGCTGACCTCTGGCCTCCACAGGCACATGCACACACATGTGCACCCACACAAGCATGCCCGTGTGCGCACATACACACGCACACAAATCTATTGGCATGCATATCACAAAGAGGTTCAAGTTAAAGGTATATTTTGCTTAGGTCTTATAAGCTATTGAAAAACCTTAGTTGTATCCATAAAACTATCCATATCTACTGTATTGGTTTTGCTGTAAAGTGGGAGTTGGCAAACACTTTTTTGCAAAGGCCAAACAATAAACATTTCAGTCTTTGCTAGCCTCAAACGCGTGTCTCCGTTAACATGTTCTTTGCTTTCCCTTCACTTCTTCCTGTCTTTGTCAGGTGTAACAACAATTCTTAACTGAGGCTGTGCACACAGGGCACAGGTGGTCTACAGTTTGCTAGCCAGCCCATGTTCTTCTGGAAGGATGTCTAGTTGTTATTACCATCCTACAACCAAAGCCTCAGCTTCCACTGCTGGGGTTATGGTACAAAAGCTCGCTGGAAAGGAATGAGAGCTGTAACCCTTATCAGCTCCGTGGCAGCCAGCCTCTGAGACGGCTCCTGAGGGTCCTGTGTCCACGGATGCTCTGCTTTGCGGGGTCCCCTCACACACAGTACCAGGGTCAATCTGTGTAGCCAACAGGGCACAGTGAAAGCAACAACAGGCAACAGTTTATTCGCACGCCATCTCTTTTTCTCCCCTGGCTCACATCACTGACTGTAAAGGAAGCGAGGTTATCCATGCTGTGAGGATACACAGGCCATCTAGAAAGGCCTGCCTAAGAGACCGATGCTTCCAGCCGGCAGCCAGCGAGGCCTGGCAGCAGCCACCTCAGTGAGCCTAAAAGCAGACCCACTCCAGGTTAGCCTCTAGATGACGGCAGGCCTGGCTGACACCTTGACAAGAGGCGATGAAACAGCCAGGGAGCCCCAGCTGTGCTGCTCTCACACTCCTAATTGCCAGAACTGTGAGATGCTGAGGCTTGTTTCAAGCTGTTGAGTTTGGGTTAACTTAGCACACAGCTACAGCTGGCCAGTGCAAATGCCACCAAGCAGTCAGGCCACAGCGGTACTTACCTCCATGGGATAGATAAAAGTCTGTGCAGTTGCCCCAGCCATGGAACCAGAAACGAACCTCTCAAAGGTTCCTAATTTTTGTCCTTCTTCGGTAAGCAGCTTCTTGTACTGTAAAAAGGAAGTTTTAAGATGCACACTAAACCGCCGTCATTGGACTCTGTAACCTACAAGACCCACTCCGCTGCCCAAACCCACCGAACCCACATCCTCCCCCTGGCCAACCATCCCCCACAACATCGACAACCCCTAGAGGCACAAGCACCACCTGCACCAGCTGGAAGAACAGACCCACTCCACTGCCCAATCCCACCCACCCAGCAGCCTCCCCCTGAACAGCCCTCTCCAGCAATATCAGCAGACCCTATAGGCACAAGCGCCACCCACACCAGTTGGAAACCATAGTCACAGGCATAACCCACAACAATTGGAAGAACAGACCCCAAGGGCACAAGTAAAGCCCACACCAGCCAGAAGAACTGGACAATACACTAGATTTAGGCACCCAAACCCCCACAAACCTCAGCTGAGACAACCCTACTCAGCCTGACAATCAGCCAATCACCAGAGCCCTTGGGCATTCAGGGCAAAAGACAATAAAGGAACAAAACACACATCCAACAAAGACATCACAAGAATCAACACCTGTACCTATAACTATCCCAAACCCAGATGGGTAAACAGCAGGGTAAGAACACATTCAGCAACATAAAGAGCAATATGGCACCGCCAGAACCTAGTCATTCTACAATAGCAAGACTTGAACATCCCGATGCAGATGAAGCAAAAGAAAACAACTTTTAAAATGACTTTATGAAGATGATAGAGGCCTTTAAAGAGGAAATGAAAAATTCCCTTAAAGAAATGGAGGAACAGACAAACAAAAAAGTTGGAAGAAATCAATTAATTGCTTAAAAAAGCCAAGAGGAAGTGATCAAACAGGTGAAAGAAAAAATTCAAGACTTGAAAATTGAAATAAAAGCAATAAGGAAAATACAAACTGAGGGAATTCTGGAAATGGAAAATCTGGGAAATGGGACAGGAATTACAGATGCAATTATAACCAATGAAATACAAGAGATGGAAGAGAGAATCTCAGGCATTGAAGATACAATAGAGGAAATAAATTCATTGGTCAAAGAAAATGTTGAATCCAACAAATTCTTACCACAGAACATCCAGCAAATCTGGGACACCATGAAAAGAACAAACCTAAAAATAATAGGGATAGAAGAAGAAGAATTCCAGCTCAAAGGCCCAGAAAATATATTCAACAAAATCATAGAAGAAAACTTTCCAACCTAAAGAAGGAAATGCCTATGAAAGTATAAGAAGCTTACAGAACACCCAATAGACTGGACCAAAAAAACAGTCCCCTCACCACAAAATAATCAAAATACTATACATACAGAATAAAGAAAGAATATTAAGAGCTGCAGAGGAGAAAGGCCAAGTACACATAAAGGCAGAACTATCAGAATTACACCTGACTTCTAAATGGAGATTCTGAAAGCCAGAAGGTCCTGGACAGACACTAAGAGACCATAGATGCCAGCCCAGACTACTCTACCCAGGAAAACTTTCAATCACCATAAATGGAGAAAAGAAAATATTCCATGAAAAAACCAGATTTAAACAATACCTATCCACAAATCCAGCCCTACAGAAAGTACTAGAAGGAAAACTCCATTCCCAAAGAAGTTAGCTGCACCCACAAAAACAAGCCAATAGTAACCTCACACCAGCAAATCCCAAAGAAGGGAAACACACACACCTACCACCATCACTAACAAAATCAAAAATAACAGAAATTAATAATCACTGGTCATTAATATCCTGCAATATCAATGATCTCAATTCACCTATAAAAAAAACAGTCTAACAGAATGGGTATGAAAACAGGACCCATCCTTCTGCTGTATACAAGAAACACACTTCAACCTCAAAGACAGACATTACCTCAGAGTACAGAATTTGGGAAAAGATTTTCCAATAAAATGGACCCAAGAAACAAGCTAGTGTAGTTATCCTAATATCCAACAACATAGATTTCAAACTAAAATTAGTCAAAAGAGATGGAAAATGACATTTCATATTCATCACAGGAAAAAAAAATCCATCAAGATGACATCTCACTTCTGAATATTTATTCCCCAAATACAAGGACATCCATGCTGTGGCTGTGTTCTGGATGCTGTGAATGTGTTGCTCTGATTGGTTGATAAATAAAATGCTGATTGGCCAGTAGCCAGGCAGGAAGTATAGGCGGGACAAAGAGACAGGAGAATGCTGGGAGGTGGAAGGCTGAGTCAGGAGACGCTGCCATGAGAAGCAACATGTAAGGGACCAGTAAGCCACAAGCCATGTGGCAACTTATAGATTAACAGAAATGGGTTAATTTAAGATATGAGAACTAGATAGCAAGAAGATTGAGCCATTAGGCCAAACAGTTTAAATAATATAAGCATCTGTGTGTTTATTTGGGTCTGAGTGGCTGCGGGTCTGATTGGGACTGGAGAAAACTCCAGCTACACATCCACATTTGTGAAAGAAGCATTACTAAAGCTTAAATCACATATCAAACCCCACACACTTCAACACCCCACTCTCACCAATGGACAGGTCTGCCAGACAGAAACTTAACAGAGAAATAAAGGAACTAACAGATGTTATGATTCAAATGGACTTACCAGACATCTATAGAACATTTTACCCAAACACAAAAGAATACATCTTCTTCTCAGTACCTCATGGAACCTTCTCTAAAATTGACCACAAACTCAGTCACAAAGCAAACCTCAACAGATACAAAAAAAAAATGGAATAACTCCCTGTATCTTATAAGTTCACCAAGGCTTCAGATTAGAATTCAACAACAACACAAATTGCAGAAAGCCTACAAACTCATGGAAATTGAACAACACTCAAGTAAATCACCAGTGGGTCAAAAAAGAAATAAAGAAAAAAATTAAAGACTTCCTAGAATTAAATGAAAATGAATGCACAACATACCCAAACTTATGGGACACTATGAAAGCAGTGCTAAGAGGAAAATTCACAGCACTAAGTGCCCACATAAAGAATTTGGAGAAAATCTCACACTAGCAGCTTAAACAGCATACCTGAAAGCTCTAGAACAAAAAGAAGTAAACTCACCCAGGAGGAGTAGATGCCAGGAAATAATCAAATTGAGGGCTGAAATCAATAAAATAGAAACAAATAGAACAATACAAAGAATCAATGAAACAAAGAGTTGGTTCTTTGAGAAAATCAACAAGATGGACAAACCCTTATCCAAACTAACCAAAAAGCAGAGAGAGACTATCCAAATTAACAAAACAGATACTGAGGAAATCCAGAGAACCATTAAGTCATATTTCAAAAATCTGTACTCCACAAAATTGGAAAATCTAAAAGAAATGGGCAGTTTTCTGAATAGGTACCACATACCAAAATTAAATCAAGACCAGATAAACTATTTAAATAGACCAATAACCCCTAACAAAATAGAAACAATCATTAAAAGTCTTCCAACCAAAAAAAAGCCTAGGGCCAGATGATTTCAGCACAAAATTCTACCAGAATTTCAAAGAAGAGCTGATACCAATTCTCCCAAGTTGTTCCACACAATGGAAGCAAGGAACATTACCAAACTCCTTTTATGAGGCTAAAGTTACACTGATTCCCAAACCACACAAAGATGCAACAAAGAAAGAGAATTACAAACCAATCTCCCTCATGAACATTGATGCAAAAATATCCAATAAAATGCTAGCAAACCGAATCCAGGAACATATAAAAAAAATCATCCACCATGACCAAGTAGGCTTTTTCCCAGAGATGCAGGGATGATTCAACATACAAAAATCTGTCAATGTAATCTATCATATGTACAAACTGAAAGAAAGAAAAAACACATGATCATCTCATTAGATGCTGAAAAAGCCTTCAACAATATCCAGTACCCCTTCATGATAAAGGTCTTGGAGAGATCAGGGATACAAGGAACATATCTAAACATAATTAAAAAAATATACAGCAAGCCAACTGCCAACATCAAATTAAATGGAGAGAAACTCAAAGCAATTCTGCTAAAATCAAGAACAAGACAAGGCTGTCCACTCTCCCCATATCTATTCAATATAGTACTTGAAGTTCTAGCTAGAGCAATAAGACAACAAAAGGAGATAAAGAGGATACAAATTGGAGATAAAGAGGATACAAATTGGAAAGAAGTCAAACTTTCACTATTTGCAGATGATATGATAGTATACATAAGTGACCCCAAAAATTCTACCAGGAAACTCCTTCAGCTGATAAACACCTTCAGCAATGTGGCAGGATACAAGACTAACTCAAAAAAATCAGTAGCTCTCCTATATACAAATGATAAATGGGCTGAGAAAGCAATCAGAGAAACAACACCCTTTACAATAGCCACAAATAATATAAAATATCTTAAGGTAACTCTAACCAAATAAGTGAAAGACCTGTATGACAAGAACTTTAAGTCTTTGAAAAATGAAACTGAAGAAGATATCAGAAAATGGAAAGATCTCCCATGCTCCTACATAGGTAGGATTAACATAGTAAAAATGGCGATCTTACCAAAAGCAAATCTACAGATTCAATGCAATCCCCATCAAAATCCCAACACAATTCTTCACAGACCTCAAAAGAACAATACTCAACTTCATATGGAAAAATAAAAAACCTAGGATAGATAAAACAATTCTGCACAATAAAGGAACTTCCAGTGGTATCACCAACCCTGACTTCAAGCTCTATTATAGAGTTATAGTAATAAAAACAGTTTGGTATTGGCATTAAAAACAGACACATGGATCAATGGAATCGAATCAAAGACCCTGACATAAATCCACACACCTATGAACACCTAATTTTTGACAAAGAAGCCAAAAATACACAATAGAAAAAAAGAAAGCATCTTCAACAAATGGTGTTGGCATAACTGGATGACTGTATGTAGAAGCATGCAAATAGATCCATATCTATCACCCTGCACAAAACTCGGGTCAAGCCCAAGCGGATCAAAGACCTCAACATAAATACAGTTACACTAAACTTGATGGAAGAGAAAGTGGGGAGTATACTGCCTTGTACACATTGGCACAGGAGATCATTTCCTGAATATAACACCAGTAGCACAGACACTGAAATTGACAATTAATAAACAGGACCCCCTGAAGCAGAAAAGCTTCTGTAAGGCAAAGGATGCTGTCAGTAAGACAAAATGGCAGCCTACAGAATGGGAAAATATTTTAATCAACTCCATATCTGACAGAGGGCTGATCTCCAAAATATATAAAGAACTCAAGAAGCTAGACATAAAACACCAAATAATCCAACTAAAAAATGAGGTACAAATTTAAACAAAGAATTCTCAACAGAAGATTCTCAAATGGCCAAGATACACTTAAAGAATTGTTCAACATTCTTAGCTCTCAGGGAAATGCAAGTCAAAAGAACTCAGAGATACTATCTTACACCTATCAGGATGACTAAGATCAAAAATGCCAATGATAGCCTATGTTGGAGAGAATGTGGAGCAAGGGGAACACTCCTCCATTGTTGGTAGGAAGTGCAAACTTGTACAGCCACTTTGGAAATCAGTATGAAGGTTTCTCAGAAAATTGGCAATCGATCTACCTCAAGATCCAGCAATACTACTCTTGGCATATACCCAAAGCATGCTCAGACATACCCCAGGACATTTGCTCAACTGTGTTCATAGCAGCATTATTCATAATAGCCAGAACCTGGAAACAACCTAGATGCCCCTCAACTGAAGAATGGATAAAGAAAAGGTGATACATTTACACAATGGAGTTTTACTCAGTGGTTAAAAAAAAAAATGACATCATGAAATTTGTAGGCAAATGGATGGAACTAGATAAAAATCATCCTGAGTGAGGTAACCCAGACCCAGAAAGACAAGCATGATATGTACTCACTCTTAAGTGGATATTAGATGTAAAGCAAAGGATAACTAGGCTACCATTCACAGCCCCAAAGAAGCTAGGTAACAAGGAGGACCCTAAGAGGGATACATGGATTGCCCTGGGAAGGGGAAATAAATGAGATCCCCTGGGTAAACTAACTGGAAGTGGGGGTGGGGGTGGGGAATGGGAACATAAGAGATCGGGTTGGTCGAGTTGAGGAAGTAAAGGAGAGAGAGAGAGAGCAACGAAAGAGATATCTTGATAGAGGGAGCCATTATGGGATTGAGGAGAAACCTGGTGCCAGGGAAACTCCCAGGAATCCACAAGGATGGCCCTAGCTAAGACTCCTAACAATAGTGGAGAGGATGCCTAATCTGGCCTTCTCCTGTCATCAGATTGGTGACTACCCTAATTGGCGTCATAGAACCTTCATCCAGTAACTGATAGAAGCAGATGCAGAGATCCACAGCTAAGCACTGGGCCTAGCTCCAGGAGTCCTGCTGAAGAAAGGGAGGAAGGATTGTACTGTACGAGTCAGGGGGCCTCAAGGTCATGGAAGGGGAACCCACAGAGACAACTGACCCAAGCTCGTGGGAGCTCAGAGACTCTAGACCAACAGCTAGGGAGCCTGCATGGGACCGACCTAGCCCTCTGCATGTGGGTGACAGTTGTGTAGTTTGGTCTGTTTGTGGGGCCCCTAGCAGTGGGACCAGGACTTGTCCGTGGTGCATGAGCTGGCGTTTTGGAACCTACTCCCTGTGATGGGATGCCTCACTCAGCCTAGATGTAGGGAGGAGGAGCAGCTTGGTTCTGCCTCAACTTGATGTGCCATGTTTTGTTGACTCCCATGGGAGACCTTACCCTTTCTGAATGGATGTGTTAGGTGGAGGGAGGGAACAGGAAGAGAGGAGCTAGGGAAAACTGTGGTTGGTATGTAAAATAAATTTTTAAAAATTAATTTAAAAAGATATATATTAATAGCAGCTTTAGGGTAATAGTGCCCCCTCCTAAATTCTTATATTAAATCCTAATCCCCATTGTGATAGTATTAGGAGATGAAGCCTTTGCGGACATTTGTGGTTAGAAGAGGTTCTAAGGCCTCAGGATAGAACTAGCATCCTTATCAGAAGAGACACCTGACAGTTTACATTCCACCAAACCATGCACCGAGGCCATATGACTATGGAGCAAGAAGCCAGGAAGAGAGTCTCCACTGCCTGGCCTCTTAATCTGATACTGCTTAAGCTTGAAAACTGTGAGAAATAAGTTTCTACTGTTAAACCACACCTTAGATGGTATTTCACAGTGGCAAAACACAAATCAGATCCTAGAAATCAATTCATTTACAGGATGATGAGATGCCTCAAGATGCATCCTCTACATTAACAATCCTAGCAGAAACGTGGGGCTTAAATGCTGATTCTGTTTCCTGGGAAGTAGGTTTTCAAATTAGATCCCCACATGGCTGGCAATATACCTCAGTGGTCAATCTCTTGCCTGGCCCATGTAGCAACCCTAAATTCAAATTCCAGCATCATTAAAAAGAGGGAGGGGAGTGGATAGAACAGAGTAAGCCTGTTGGAGGGGCCAGGTTATGAATATGTCAAGTGGTACCAAGTGTGCTGTGTGTGGGCTTTCAGATACACCGAACTTCCCCATATTAAAATAACAGCGTTATTTTTGAATATGTATCTTAGGCTCTGGCTTTCCTATTATAAAATTAGTCATAATTTGAATGCTCAGGCATTCGAATCAGGAAAATCTTTTTTCCCGGAATGGGCTCCACCTGAGGCCAGCTGTTCTTTGCTTCTCTATTCCTCAATCAAGAAATGGATACCACCAGCTCTGGTCATTTCAGAAGAGTGGCACTTCTCCAGGACAGTCTCTCCAGAACAGCATTAAACGTACTCAAATAAGAAACTGGAGTATGGAGTTGAACGTTAAGGCTCGTATAGACCATGATGAACAATTACGGAAGAGATGACAGAAGAAAAACTAATTGTATAGCAAGCAGCTCCAATGACTCTGCCAACAACTGCAGAAGCCAATCTCTAAACCCACCACTGTGTTTTAACCTAGTCAACAGAGAGGGAAGCAAATGCCTTCATTTACTACCTCATTCATTCACTCAACAAACACTCAGCCCTTCACCCATGCTGGGCTCTGCCCAGGGGCTGGAGTGCAGGGAGAAGCCAGACACCCCTGCCTTCATGGAATTTTCAAGCTAAATACAATTCCATTCACACAAAGGAATTCATCTGAACAGTTTTCTTTCCAGAAATCGAAGTTTGTAAAACTTAGATGAAGTGCCCTCTGCGTCCACTAGAATTCAAGACGAGTCAGCCAAAATCATGCTTTGAGGAGCTACTTAGAAAAAGAGGTCGGTGGGGAAAGCCTCCCTCTCTAAACGGTATTAGGGAATCCAAAATCCCATAATTCAGCTGTGTGAAATCATTGAGTTTATCAAGTTCTAGTCTCCCATAAGGAATTGCCTGGCGGAGTACTAGGAACCGATACCCAAAGTAATGCATACTGATCTTTCCTGAATGAGTTAACTAACTTATTCTGTTAATCATTTCCACAGGTAATAAAAATTACCTGTTCATAAGCCCAGAACTTAACAGCTGTCTCGGGAGCAATTTTAATGACATTTGTGCCGTTTCCTCTCCAAAGGGAACGGACTCCTCCTTCCTTCACCATCTGCCGAAAGCCTCCAAATATATTCATTGATTTGGAACCATGAACCTAAAAATAAAAGCAAAGTGTCACGGGATACTTCTGCATATTGTTGAAACTGTTTTGAAAGTAGGTCTGAGCTGAATCCAAACGCTGGATACTGAATGCTAAAGCCTCCCGAGAGCGTCTCTGATGGGCTGCAATGTTCTGCTCACCAATTTTAACATCAATACCAGGAAAGAAAGGCATCAGGGCTGCACAGGGCACAGACAGAAGAAGATCCACATTTGGAACTTTCCTGGACTCGGCCCTCTGCACTTCCTTTCCTTGGTTAATTTGAATCCCTATTTCTTCCCTGTAATAAACCACGACCATGAGTCTGTATTTTCATGAGGCCATCTGGTGAAGTATCAAGCCTGCAGGAGACTTTGGGAAGCCCTTCAAATGTGTAGAAATGACAATCTTAACAAATCCACTTTATTTTAAATAATAAACTTCATAATAACTTATGACAAAGGAAAAGATGTGTGCCTATTCAAGTTTCCTCAAAGTCAGTTTACTACTGTACTAAAGAAAAAAGCATCTATCTTTTTTATTCAAATAATTTTTAAAAAAGTGTTATATATATAAAGCACAACTTTAAAAACATTTTTAAGGAATCTTAGAAATGGCTTAGTGCCTCTAAGACCACAGGCTACCCTTGCAGAGGACACAGGTTTGATTCCCAGTACCCACATAGCAGCTTACAACCATGTGTAACTCCAGTTCCAGGGGATTTGGCACCTTCTTCTGGGATCTGTGGGCACTGCATGGCAAAACACCCACACACATAAAATAAAATAAAAACATTTTTAAGCAACTGCTATGGTCTTCTAGGTTATTCCAGTATGCCAGAGCCTCTGTAAATTCAACTTGAGGGCCGCCCTTGTTAGATACTCTGGCTCCCATTATGGAATGGAGGAAATGAGATCTCAGAAGTCCAAGGTAAGAACCAAAAAATCTGGAGGTGAAGTGACGTCATGCCTCATCTATTCTTCTCCATTAAGGAAACTTTAATTCTTACAGTCTCAGTCTCCTCATACGTAAAGTGAAAGCACACCACTGGCTTTACTGAGCTCCCATGAATATGAAACGGGTTACCGTGATGTGCACAAATGGGTATTCTTTCTTTTCTCCAGGTCAGTGAGCAGTCAGGTCTGTCTAGAAACCTGGGTCTTTTCTGCTAACCTGAGCTCTACAGTCACTTCTGAAATTACATTCTTATCACCAAGATTCTAGACTTGAGAAATCCTCTGTTTTCTCAAGTCATAACATCAAAGAAAATATAATTTAATGAGAACGCTATAACAGTGGCAAGGTTTTTGTTTTTGTTTGTAATTAGACATTTGAAGTTATAGAATACCAAAGATTTCATTACAAACAAGTACTAACAATTTGTGGTTTAATGGAACAGAACCAAATACTTAAATATGTGCCTAATCTGAGGGTTAATGGTAGCAGAATAGAATTGTCTACGGAATGAAGGCCTGTGACTGGACATAGCATGTTTCCATACAGGCTGGCGCAAGGCGCGGCTCACCTGCATCATGACCTTGAGGCGATCCAAAGGAGCAGTGCTTGTTCGAGAGATGGCGCCAGCCACACCTCCTGCCAGAAGCTGCCGCCACCACTGTCCTGATTTTTTCTCATCTTCTGTGAACTCATCCGGAATAGTTAAGCTGTCCCCTATGTCAATTCCCTGGTAAAATGGAAAGAGATCCCACAGTTTAGTCCCAAACAGATAAACCCAGAACTTTCTTTTTGTGTCAGAGCTGTTACTGTTACGATCAAGGTTCTTCCTTGGGATTGACAGTGAACCACTCTGAGCACATGTGAGTGAGCATCTAGTCCCCCTGAATGTAATGCAGAATCAACGTAATGCAGAGTCAATGCACAAGACCTGGGAACTGTCAGTTACAAAGTCACATGTTTCTCTTTCTTTTCAAATCAGGTGAGTTTTATTGGACTGAATTGCAATGAAGGGGTAATATTTTGCCACACTTAGTTAATCCTTGTCAGTCACTTTTCACAATCTAGAGGACCACACAGTTGGGGACAGCTTTGAAAAAACTACTTAGCCAGTACTTCAGACACTCAATTTGTCTTAAGTCCCATTACACTCTGTACTATGAAGTATATATAAATTTAAATATGTAAATTTTAAAATTAAACCATGAACGTAAATAGCTCATCTTCTCATCTTCTATATAGTGAGAACAGTGTTATTATTATGATACTTTTGCAACTTAATTATCTAACTGCTATGGTGGGTATAACTAGGTCATAGAGCACTTTCTTAGCACGCTCCAGGTCCCAGCACCACACACAAAACATGACATTGACATAAAACTTTATGGGCAGGAATGGAAGGTAATGAGCCACACTTTGGCAGTAATGTTCTCTTCTTTGTTACCAATAAAATTGATTTATGATTGTATCATCAAATGTTATCAACTATCCCCAAAGATATAATACAAGATTCACATAGTATAAAATTTATACACGTAATTGATTTTATAATGCTCTGTATAAGCTTTGGCATTGTTACTAGTGACAGTGTGAACTCCAGGTGTATTGAGTGGGAGTCAAAGATACTTCTCTCCCAGCACAGAAGACAAGTCCACAGGTTGAGGGTTGGGGGAGCCCGCAGAAGGTCCCCAAGGGCTTCAAGGAACAGACTGTACAACAGAACCTAATTTACACCACTATATTTTAGCAGAATGTTAATGAAACAATCACAATGAAATTTTAAGATGTACACACTGGCAGGAAATGCTATGCATGTGAGTCAAAAAAAATATTCTCTAGCATTCAATGAGTAATGCAATGCCTTATGACAGCGATAAATCTAGGCAGCCTGACTAAGTAAGCAGTTCCGGGAGGGACCTGAGGCCATGTCATCTTTAGCAATCTGGAAGTGCAGAGATGATTTGGTAATACGCGACTTCTGACTTTGAGACTTCCCTATGGCAAAAGCATTAAATGTCAATGAAACCTGGGCAGCTAGTTCATCAAGATAGGACTTCTTCCAAGTTTTGAGAAAAGCTGTTTTTATATGCCACCTTGGGGACTTTAAAGATGCTCTATAAATCTGTGCCTAATAGAATAAACAGATCTAGACGTTAAATATCTACTGGGACTTTCCTGGGACTTGGCCAACCTTCCCAGGGTGTTCTGGTGTTCTTGAGTGGCAAGCATTGTGAAGCAGAGCTCCGTTAAGAGTAAGTGACGGCAAAGGTTGACAGCCTGGCTAGAACTCCAGTGACTAGAGCCAACCTATCCTAACCACTTTAATATCGACTTTCTGCCCACCTCTGTGTGTGACCTAACATCTTTGTGACTGTTAGGTAAACCCTTTGGAAGGTATGAACAGACCAGATGCCTAGATTCTACCAACCCAAGGGTTAAGATCACACAGCATCTGATGTCCATAACAGAAATTCTGCTACTTTGCTTTAAGTCTCATGTTTCCACTGATGTATTTGAAAAGTATCTTGATTTATGATTTTCTTTGCTGTATTAGTATAAAAATCTCATGAAACTATGTCCGTGTCAGAACACGGAATGTGAGGTAACCTGAGTCTGTGTTCCCAGGCCACGGTCCCTCGTCTAGATACAAAATAAACGATCTCTATCTTCTTTGAGGTGAGAGCTGTTTCTTGCATCAGCACTAGACCTGAGACTTAGAGCTACAGATACAGAATGCAAACTTACAGTCGAGTGTTTCCAGAAACGGACAATCTCTTCAATGTCCGTAACAGGGTTAAATAAAAAGTAGTCCCTCCATTCATTCCAGTCCACTGTCATTGTCCCGTCCGCGTCGATGCTGGAAGTGTGAACAGACGGTTAAAGAGCAAGACGTGGGCACGGCTAGCATTACTGCTCATTTTACAGAATGAGATTTTGCTTCCCAGATCAATTTGTATTGAATTTTAAAAACCCATTGGCAGGTTTAAAGGGTTCACCACAGAGCATTTGGTTAGCAGGCATGAGGCCCCGGATTCCACCCTCAAGGAAAACACACCACTCACAATTCTACGTGACTGGAAGTAGAATCATGTATATTATGCTCCTTCCTGACCATTTTCACTATTTGGAGAAAACCAGATCCATGTATTACAGAGAGAGCCCGCTGCAGACTGCCTTTAGCACCCTGTCAAACTCAAAGTCACTCGGTTAAAAGACACAACGACTGGATAATGAAATATTGAGAGGTACTAATGAATAAATTCAGGGTCCATTTTTTTTCCTCTCACAAGCTCAGGGGATTGTTTCTTAATATCCTAAGACTGAAATATTTGGGTATGGTTTTTGAAATAGATTCTAAATATGCTATCAGTTTTCTTCTCCTCATCAACATAAGAAAATCAGCAGTGATTCTAAGAAGTTAAATTCTTAATGCGTGATTATTTGAGTTTTGAGAAATCCTGGTATCTCACCCACTCTGAACTTAGCATGCTGTCATCTTCCACGTGTAAGTGGTAACACAAACTCTGAGTTTTTTGTGTTTTTCGTTTGGGGGGCATTGTTTGTTTGTTTTGTTATAAGCTTCTTGACCGAAAGCCCATTCTATAAGACTTTCCTCAGAACAATGCAAAATTACACCGGGTTTGATTGCGCTCTTCAATACAGATAGTTACCAGAGTGGCAGGTACGAGGAGCTTGGTTTTGATTGAATTCACATGTATGAAATAGTGTTTTGATGTTTCCTCAAACTGTATGCTATAGTCTATGTGACAGTGCCACATGCAGGCAGCATACAAATGAAGTGGAATTTTCAGATATTATTCTTATGTTTTCAGTACATTTTCAGTTTCGATTGCTCATGTGAGATCAGACTTCAGCGTTCACTGGCCTGGTGCAGAGGTGGCGATGCTCCATATCCACTCAGAATCCTACTCACTACTTGCCTTTAAAATGCATTCTGGGTTGCAGTATTAGCAGCTCTGATTTTATCAATGCAATGATTTAGCTTTTAACCCCAACCCCCAACTTGCCCTTTCATGAGCATTTTCTACGAGGCAAGTGTCACCTTAGAAACATCCTGCAACTTTTTATCTTGTTTTGTTTTTTGAGACAGAATTTCACTGTGTAGCCCTGGCTGTCCTGGAATGCACTCTGTAGATTAGGCTGGCCTCGAACTCACAGAGATCCACCCGCCTCTGCCTCCCCAGAGCTGGGATTGGAGGCGTGCGCCACCACCACTGTCATCCCACCACTTTAATGTTTTCAAGTCAAAGTCCCCTTGAGTTTCCACTCTGCCCATGTTGTGGGAAAGCATGGGTCCATCTGTGGTATTTTGTTACACAGCACATAAGCTGACTGGAAATTCACTTGGATCTTTTGTAGAGCTTGGGGTTAGAATTTGCTTTATTCCTAATGCTGTCAAAGGACATACAAGAAAAATGATTTCTGACCTTAAGCAAGAGAGGAAAAAAATTCACACTTTGCTAAGGGTTTGTCAATATTCTTTGCCTTTTCAAAGAACTAACTTTTTGTTTTGTTATGATGCAAAAATTCTCCATAAACTATTTGCATGTAAACTGAGGGCAATAACACATTTAAAAGATTATACACTGTGATGAAGTTAGTTCTATTCCAAGGATGTAAGAAGTCATCTTTCCAGATGACTCAGGAGTTAAAAAGCACTGGCTGCTCTTCAGGAGGTTCTGGGTTCAATCTAGCACCTTCACGGCAGCTCACAACTGTCTGTAACTGCAGTTCCAGAGGATCTGATGCCCATGGGCACTGCATGCATATGGTATCCACACACACACATGCCAGCAAAACACCCATACACATATAATAATTTTTAAAAAACTGTTCAACATACACAAACCAGTAAAGTAATATAGCACATAGTAGAACTAGAACCAAGGACAGAAACCACATGATCGTCTCAATAGATACAGGACAAACCTTTGACAAAATTTTACATTTCTATGATAAAAGCCCTGAAAAAGCTAGTGGCAGAAGGATCATATCTCAACCTAATGAAAATTACATGTGACAGTCCTATAGACACCTTTACACTGGTGGGGTAAGATGGAAAAATTGCCTCTAACATCAGGAACAGGCCAAGGGGTTCAATAGTTCCACTCTTATTTACCACAGTGTCTGAAGTCTCAGAAAGAGTCATAAGACAAAAGAAAGAAATCAAAGAGATACAAATAAAAAGGAAACAAATCAAATTACCCTATTTTCAGATAATATGATTCTATAGTTAAAAGACCCTGAAGATTCTCCTAGAAAACTCTTAGGCCTGGTGACACTTTTGGTAGATCAGTGCAGTACAAAACTGACATAGAAAAACCAGTAGCTTTTCTATAGACAAACATATAATAACAAACATACTCAGAAGGAAAACATCTCATTCACAATAGCTGCAAATAAATAAATAAACAGTAGGAACAAACCTAACCAAGAAAGTGAAAACTCTCCTTAACAAAAGTTTTATATATAAAATACTGAAAAAGAACTAGATGGCCTAAAAGATGGAAAGAGCTTCCAGGCTCACAGACTGACAGAATTACTATTGTTCCAATCACCATGTTACTAAAAACAATCTGTAGATTCAGTTTAATCATTAGTCAAGTTCTAATGGCATTCCTTACAGAACTCAAAGAAACAATTAGTTGTTTCTTAAATAAATCTTAAAATTCATATCAAAACACAGAAGAGCCCAAATAACTAAACCAATTCTGAGCAAAAAGAGTAACACTGGAGGGACCACCATAACCTGACCTTAAATTATGCTAGAAAACCATAGCAACAACAGTAGCACAGTACTAACTCAGAAAGAGGTGCTTAAATCAAGACCTTAGAACAGAGTGCCCAGAAGTAAGCCCACTCGGCTACAGATGCCTGATTCTTCTCGAAAGACAGCCTCCTTAACAAAATAAATAAAGGAGAAAGAATTAGACACCCAAAATAAAATAAAATAACTCCCACAAATAATCTAATCAGTAAGTGGTCAAATGAGTTGGACAGTTTACAAGATGGATAAATGGGCAGTAAATATATGAAAAATGTTAAATAACTCTTAGCCATCAGGGAAATGAAAATTAAAATCACTTTGAGGTCCCACCTTACCCCATTCAAAATGGCTAACATCAAGAAAGTGAGAACAGTGGGTGCAGGAGAGAAAGGAAGCCTTATGTTATTGATGAGAATGTAAATTAGTTCAGCCTCATTGGAAGTCAGCATGGAGATTCCGGGGGAAAAAAAAATCTAAACTAGAACTGGCAGGTGAGCCTACCATTCCACTTCTGGGAATGAACCCCAGGGACTCTAAGTCAGCACACCTCAGAGGTACTTCTCATCTGTGTTTATCGCTGCAATACTCACAATAGCCAAGACATAGAATCAGTCTAGATGCCCATCAACAGATGAAGGCACGCACGCGCACGCGCACACACACACACACACACACACACACACACACACACACACACATACACACACACACACACACACACACACACACACACACACACACACACACACGAATTGACCACTCTAAAGAAGAAAGAAATTATGTCATTTGCAGAGAAATGCTTGGAACTGGAAGTGAGCATGATAAGAAATAAGCCAGGCTCAGAAAAACAAATATGACAAGTTTTCTCTCATGCAGAATCAAAATATTTTTGAAAGATGTAAGCAGAGGGGTGCCATTTGGGTGACGGAGGCCAGCAGGAGGGAAGCGGGGTGAGAGAGGATGGTAGAGAGGTGAATGTGACTGAAGCACATTGTAGGAAAATGTCACAGCGAATCTCATTACCTTAGAGAGTTAACACATACTAATACTTTCTAAAAATGAGGAAGAAATCAAATTCATTTAAAAAGTAATAGCCAGGGGCTGGAGAGATAGTTCAGAGGTTAAAAGCACCAAGTGCTCTTCCGGAGGACCTGGGCTCAGGTCCCAGCACACACATGGTGGCTCACAGCCACCTGTAACTCCAGTTCCAGGGAACCTGACACCTCTTCTGTGCTCCACAGGCACCAAGCATGCAAGTGACACAAAGACAAACAAAACACCCATCACACATAAAATAGATAAAAGAAATAAATGCTTAAAGTGACCGCAAAACCCTCAGCTCCTACCTCTAGACATAAGCCTCACTGCTGTCCCAGCGCTCCTGAAGACTTGCGACAACCGACTAGTCCCGCTCCCATCCCTGCACTGCAGATAACGTGTTTCCACAGAAATGCAAAGGGAATGAAGGACAGAAAGACAGCCAGGCGTGGGTGATGAGGCACGCTGAGATGCAGGGAGGTATCCGAACGTGGCACGTAGAGACCAGCATGGAAGACGAGACTTTAAAGCAGTTGGTCAGTTTGATGGAGAGCTCACCTTTGAAGAATCAGTTTTGCTTGATCTTCAGAAATATGTAGACCCAGCATCTTGAGAGACTGGACAATTTCGGAAGGCTCGATTTTCCCTTCAAACAATGAAAACAGTGTAAGATCAGACTCAGAATCTGAGAAGATTTCTGGACGATGAGAGTGAAAATAAGCATTTGGGTAAGCCAGTGAGCTTCTCAAATGCATAGTGTGGCATCAATACTCAAAATGTTCACAAATACCTTAAAAATGTGCACATATTATTCGATTCATAAAGCCTAGTGGATAAATGGTGCTATCCCTCCAAACAGAAGGCCAAAAGCTCCCACGGCCTCGTTGGGTGATGGCAGCAGGAGAGAGCTCTAAATCCTGATCTCCTACGAGACAAACTCCATTAAACTAGAAATTGTTTGCTGGAAAGTGCCCATATCCACATTTCAGTAGGTAGAGGGGCATTCACGAAGCATGGAGTCATGTGACCAAGTGAGAGAGAGCAAGACATGAAGAAATTGAGCCAAAGAGCAGAGAATTATCTGAGAAATATGGCAGTGAAAATAGACAGTAAGGACCGAAAAGCAATGGAAGAAAGAATAAATTAATACAAAGGCCATCTGAACACGTTAGAGATGGAACAAACCAGGAGAAAGGGAAAGAGAGAAAACAACGTACACCATAAACACAGGCCCCCAAGCTCTTCCCTCAAGTGGCTCAAATACTCGTGAGGGTCCCGACAGGGCTGAAACCACTCAAAGTGAGAGGCTCTGCTACCACTCAACATGGACAGCAAGCTCCTGGGGGGGGGGGAGCACACAAAGGACAGGGGGAAGGGAAGACATCCTCTGAGAGAGGAACTAAAGAAGTGACAGGATGCTGAGGGGATCCACCCAGAGAGAGGAAACTGGCAGAGGAATCTGGACGATGTTAGGGGACAAAGGGGGCATTATTTCAGCAGTGAAGTGCTGTGAATCTCTCCCAGCATTCCCTTGGGCCACACTCTTAAAGACTTAGTGGTGCACTGTGCAGCAGCCATGTTCTGTAAAATTACTGCAGACACTGGATTAGCAAACATAGTTCTGCAAGTGATTCAGGTACAGGTTCCCGGGAGACTCTATCACAGCAGTTCATCAGCTGATCTAAGGTTGTTTCCCATTTCTGTTCCAAAACCTCATGACATTGAACTCTTGGAAAACTTTTCTAGAAAATCTGCATTTCTGCATGGCACACATCATGACTTTCTTGGACTTGGAGGCACTAGCACCACGTATGGGGAACATTTTATTAAGTAAAATTATCCACCAAACCATGTTCAAAGATGCAAAATGCACAAAACAAAACAGATCTTGAAAAAGACAATTGCTTATAGTCTTAGACCTAAAATAAAGAAGAATGTCACCTTGTGTTTTAAGAATCAGGAATGTCACCTTATCCTTATTGTGTCTCAACTAGGAATGTCTATGTTCAGTGATTTAAAGTTTTTACTCTTCTGTGCATGGCCACAAGTAACTGGAACACATATCTTGAGACTACTTCTGAGGTTAAATTTTAGCAAGTAGTAATATCCACCAGTACAAAGTCCACAAATGATGAGAATGTAAACTACATATGTTTAAGTTAAGGAATTCTGATAAATGAAAATATAAACCTATAATGATAAATTGTTTCAAAATATATGTGAAGAAATAAGTAAAGGCAGAACTCTCTACGTTTATGAAAAATGTATTGTTGAAATTTCATTTCTATTTCCTGTGGTTCAAGTCTAGTTTCCTGGAGTGGACAATGATATGCACACCACTCATGCACTGGATGGCTGAGCACTAGTCATATAGCAGTTGGTCCTGAGATTGTCTCAGCTCCCAGCTATTAACAGGACAAGGACAACATTGTCTCTGCCACTCAACTGTAGAGGGATGAAAGTTTGCATGCAGGAAGGAGAGTTAATTTTAAAAACTGAATTTGCCTGAGGATTGGACTCAGAGGGCTTGAGGACAATATACACAGTGCAAGGTTTCCTGGAGGTTACAACCTCCACCTCCACCACACACTGAGCCCTTAGCCATTGTGAACCATCAACAAAACCATCTAAAAGGTTTGATTATTTGAAGGAATTTGATTGTAAGTTAATGTTCAGTCTAAAACAGTAGATAGCACATTATAACTGTCAATACAAATAAGGCCTGTTGACTTTCTTTCTAAATAAAGTTTTATTTGAATACATCCATACAATTTGCCTACATTCTGTCTTTGGCTGAGATGCAGCCACAGCTCAGACTACATAGCCCACACAGTTAAAATATTTACAACCCAGATTTTTATTAAAATTTTTTAAACTAACCCTTGAAAAGAATGATATTTTTCCATTTATTGTTCAACTTCTTTCTTAAATAACAAGTTTGTGAAGTGAGCCATTCACTAGGCTGGGAAAGGTTTAGGGCTGCATTATAATCTTTGTAAATTCATTCTTCCTGTCAGTGGTTGCCTCTGGACATGGGATCTGATGATTTTCCACTGCTGGTTATCTTCCTACTTACCTGGGACTCTATTCCCAAGCTACTACTTTAAACAGAGAAAATGCCACCCCAGCCAGAAGGTACAGAAAAATGTTGAACTACTCTCATTATTAGGATCAGAGACCATCTTTCCTAAATTAATCTTTCAAAGAGATTATAAAGTGTAAGATATGAATATGAAGTTTTTATTGTATAATGCACAAGTCATGCCCCCATACGAAAAATAAATACTTCTTATTGAAAGAACAAGTAGGTAATTATTATTATTATTTTTAAACCACAGCTATAAGTGAGATCAGAATAATCTCAATAGTTAACACTTTATGGCAATTTTTAATTCAGTAGAAAAAACTATAAATTTTCTTCACTGAAAATATGGACTCGAGGCTGGAGAGATGGCTCAGTGATTAAGAGCAGTCAATGATCTCACAGAGGACCCAAGTTCAGTTCCCAGCACACATGCTGGCTGGCTCAGAACCACCTATAACTACAGCTCCAGGGGGTTTGCAGGCACCTGTACTCATGTGTATATAACCCTACACACACACACACACACACATACACACACAGAACTAAAAGTAGAATAAAATCTTAAAAAACAAATGAATAAAAATATGAACTCCCAAACACATTAATAAAATAAGTACTAACACAAATAACAGTCATCTGGAGAGATTAACTATATCTTATCTTAGACTTGGAAAGCATAAAGGCAACTTTTCATAAGAAGTGATAACAGGACATACCATCACTATTCTTGTCCAAACTTTTAAATGCTAACTTCATTTTCTTCTCATGATCTTTCAGGTATTTCATAAATTCTTCAAAATCCAGCTTCCCATCTTTGTTGACATCGCCAGCAATGAAAATTTTCTACAGAAAAAGAGAGAAAGAGAGAGAGAATTTATCGTTGGCATGGGCTAAAGTACTGAACTAATTGTGTACAAGCTTCCAGTTTGGGCCAGATGTATTAGTATCCATTACGGCATAGCTTTGCAACCTTTCCTGTGGTTAAGATTCTCAGAGTTTCACAAGCAGTGGATGGTGCCAGTTTGATCATTACAGGAAGACTAGGGCTTCTCTTTTAATTGTCTTGTAATTCCCTCTGTGGGAATAAAGACACGAACCAGGGCCATCTCTCCCGAGCTTGCTGCCGTCTTCATCTGTGTTTTATATAGACCCCAAGATGGGGCGGAGCACAGGAAGCTTTGCGGTGTGAAGGGAGAGGTTTGGCATGTGAAGGGGTGGGCACAGGCCGGCTAGCCAGGAGCAGAGGGTCCAGGGTGGTTGTATGGAGAGGCATAACTGTCTTTCGTTAATCCCAAAGTGAAAATGGAAATCAAAATTAGGAGAACTGTCAGTGTGATTCATCAAGTCCTGGCCATTTGGGGAGGGGCTTTTACAGGAGCTACTGTGCAACTTCCTGGGCTGTCTCTAGAGACATCAACTGTCTCCCTCCAAGCCTGTCAGTTGTAAGGACCAGGTTTCCTGGCTGTATGTGCTGAATCAATGTCTATTTTTATTTATGGCCCTGCCATTATCTGTTTGTATATTCAGTCCCTCCTACTTATAGAATAACAAAAGAAAATTATTGCTTCAAATTTACTATTTTTCATAATAAAAAGGGTATCTTTTGCACCTCACACTATAAATGTACATTTCTCTTTTAAAAAGTTAATTGAATTCCCAGTCCATATGAGTGAAATTCCTTCTACAGACATAAGAGAACCCACACATTTGAACTTCTTAGATGTGACCTTTTCCTGAGGGAAAAGTCCAAGAGTTATTTTAAAATAGAATGTTCCATGTGGTTGGTGCAGAGCCCGGGGGAATGACTCTCCCTTAGTTTTGATAAGTGAATGCTCACCCATAATGAATGGATCTGCAAAGCCTCACACCTTTTGCCAAAAAGTTTTGCAGGAAAATAAAATGTTGAAAAGGAATAAGTGGGTTTCAAAGAACTTAACTTGTTTATGGCAAAATCCAGGTTTCCTTCTGAAAGGCTAATTGGTATCAAATAAGCAAATATACATCATGTTTTGAAAGAAGAGGGACCAGGGTCCCAACATCCACCTCCATATGGGAGATTTCCAACTCTTGAAGTTCCCACCCTTAAGATACACCTCTTAGAAGTTGCAGCACTACCCCCAATAGAATCACTGGCTGAGTGCCAAGTCATTAAAAGGAACACCTTTGAGAAACATTTATCCCAACCACAGCAAAAGACAAAGCAATCACAATGTAGTGCTTGCCATATAGAATCAGCTTTAAAGACAACTGGTTGACCAATGGAAAGCTTAAAGACTCCAAAAGTCTGCACAGTTAATAGGATGATGACGACTCTTAGGAAATTCACCCCCTTAGGAACAGAAACAAAACATAATTGTTCCCAGCCACCACTGAGCCCCCAAATACATGTGGACTTAATGTTCCGGTTCTCTAAACCCATGACACATCTTGGGCCCATACGCTGTGGTGGTTTGAACAAGGATGACCTCCATTGGCTCATATATTTGAATGCTTGGTCCACACTGTTTGGGAAGGATTAGGAGGTGTGGCCCTGTTGGAGGTGCATCACTGAGAGTGGGCTTTGAGGTTTCAAGAGCTTATACAATTCCCAGCTAATTCTCTCCCCCTGCCTCCAACTTGTGGATAAGATGTAAACTCTCAGCTACTTCTCCAGTTCCTGGCTATCTGCCTGCTGCCCTGCTCCCCACCATAATGGCCATGGTTTCACACTCTCAAACTGTAAGCAAGGCCCCGATTCAATGCTTCTATAAGTTGCCTTAGTGTCTCTTCACAGCAGTAGAAAAGTAACTAAGACGTGCCAAAGCTACTAATCTAGGCCTCTGGTGACATGTGAGAACACTGAACAGGTTGACCCCCTAAAACAGAACCTTAGCCAACAGCAAAAGCAATCAGAAGTGGGAAATTTGATTATAGCCACAAGGAAAACTGAAAAATATTCTTGAGGACATTAGCTATGAGGATGACCTTGAACTTCTAATCACCCTGCTTCTACATCTTCTGTGCTGGGATTAGAGGCCTGCACCACCACAGCAGTATATACAATACGATACGATACGATACGATACGATACGATACGATACGATACGATACGATACGATACTATACGATACTATACGGTATTGGTGACCCACCACAGCAGTATATACAATACGACACGATACGATACGATACGATACGATACGATACGATACGATACGATACGATACGATACGATACGATACGATACGATACGATACGATACGATACGATACTATACGGTATTGGTGACCTAATCGAGCACTCTACCTGCTACCTACATCCCTAGTCCCTGGATTATTCTTAACAAACATAAGCAGTGCTAAACCAGCAGCATCTCAAAGGACCCAGGTCAAGTTCGGGAATGTGTGAATTTGGCTTCATTCTGCTTCAGGAAGCCTCTCTAGAGGTCCTGGCCCGGACATCAATCTGAGCTTCGTGAAGCCCACCTGGTCATCCTCCAGAGATTGCTTGACCCCTAAATCCTCCAGGCCTTCCTGAAATTCAAAGATGTCCAAAGCTCCATCTTCATCATGGTCCAGATACCAAAAAAGGTCTTCATAGAGGGAATCCATCTGCAATGTCTCCTGCGGCCAGCGTGACCCCTGCTATGACCCTCTGAGTCCCCCCAGGGGCAGAAGTCCCCAGGATAGGACAAAGAAGATGTCTGTTCAAGATGAGAGAGAGGGGCCAAAGGCAAAGCATCTGCTGGGGTTACCGCACTGGAAGGAGAGAGCTTCATTCTAACCGTCCTGGGAGTGCAGGGGCCACGTGCAGGCCAAGAACCACTGAGCTACTCCTGGAGAGGGATTCGGCCCCTAAGACCGCTGGCTGGAGACCCTGCCTCCACGCTAAGTTCAACAGCAGCCAAGACAGAACCAGCCATGCCCCGCCACAACTTCCAGAGACCCCAGCACAAGACTGTCTAACAAGGAAGTTTGTGTTTCGTCTTGTTTTGTTTTATAAAAACGCGAGAGTAGAGCGGAACTGGGCTACTGCTCTGTACTCCGCTAACAGGAGTAGAGGTCACCTGACCACTTTGGGAGACTGTGTGTGGTTTGTGGCTTGTTATTGTTTTCTGGGATGCTGGGGAAGGAATATGTTGGAAACACGTGCACGTGCTAGAAAATCTCTAATCGCTCCACCACGGAGCTTCGGGTTCGGTCTAAGCAGAGCGTTTTGTCAATAGGCAGATTGCACCTGCCCAGGAATCCTCTTTTTAGGGGTGAACCGCACCAGACAGGCCGTCATAAAGACTGAAAACAAAGAGAAAATAGCCCGTGTGGACCTTTTCTTCTGTGTTCCCTCCATCTCCACCTCCCACCCCGGTTTTTTTATCTTTTATTTTCACCGACTATCCATAGTCACTCTGGGGGCAAAACTGCTCCATCCGAACCCCTCTTGAGAGGCACCCAGAGGATAATCCCCAAATGACCAGACGTTAAGGCAGCTAGACTCCAACGAGAATGCAGGAGAGACTATTATTAGTATCTGTGGCTTTTTAATGCTCACCCTCCAGAAGCATGGGAAGCCCTGAACCCCTTATTCATGTACCTGTGGCCCCTCGTGCAGCTTCCACACAAGTGTGGAAGTGCCGTTCCACAGGAAAACTCCCTGCTTTTACATGACTTACTTTTCAAACTGAATCATTTTAAAAATGAAAAAAGGAAGTTGAATGTCGCCCAGTGAGAGGGCCCACGCCTGACGTTTGAGGGTCAGATAGAAGGCTCCTGAATGCGAGGCCAGCCTGAGCTAAAGCATGATGAAATCTTCGCTCAAAAATAAATGAATAAATAAACATTTTAATTAGACACTAAAATTCATAAAGAGAATTCAATTCTGCCATTCCCCATTAGCTTTGGCTCTATATGTCTCATCACAGTGAGTGCTGAGAGCAAGACAAAGGCCATCACAAATCCTAGACAGACTCCCTCGAGGAGAAAGTTGCACCACAGTTAAACACAGGCACTGCCGTAAACTGCAATAGACACTTTCCCAAGAGCTGTTGAGCAGCTCACAGAAAAGGTTGTTTCACAAAACCTGTTTGTGGCCCAGTCGTGAATGAATTATCCCACAAAAGAGGATTTTATTTTACTTTTTTAGATGTCTTTATTTTATGTGTATGAGTGTTTTGCCTGCTTGTGCATTTATATGCATTTCATGTGTGCTGGTGCTGCAGAAGGTCAGTAAAGGGCACCGAGGCCCTGGAACTGGAGTTACGGATGGTTGTGAGCCATGATGGTCTGAGGAACAGGGGACAGTGTTTTGTCACTATTAATTCCCACAAATTCTCATTTTTCCACTTTTAATGTAATTGTGTTCTCCTCTGCCCTCACCCATCTCTCCTTCTGCACCCTCTTTCTAGCTTTTTGTTTTGTTTTTAAGTCAAAGATTATACTGGAACATTTTAAAAGATAGCCCCAAAATGTGGGTATTATCTGAAATACTCTGATGAAAATAAGACACAGTTAGGACACTGGAGATGGAGGAAATAATCTGAAATTTAATGTTTGGACACAGAAGTCATAAGTAACACAATACTGAAGAAGAGTCGAGGAACTTAGGTGGAAGTCTGTTCGTACACTTATGCTTAGAAGACTTTGAAACAGTACAGCATCCTCTGCTTCTGAAATCTGGACTTACAAATAAGGCAATACAAAATAGTAAAGGGAAGTATGCCCAGGGTGAATTTCCATTTTGGGGTTCTTTCTTTGGTCCACACTTATTTTGTGGCAATATTATATGAGTATATGGAAGAGAGAGAGGGTATGGGGCTGGAGGGAATCAGGTGTTCCTGAACCCAGGTTCATGGTAACAATTTAAATAAA